GGATCACTGCCTGTTCTTCTCTTTATTCTTTAAACTACATAAATGTTAGTTTTACATTTCTTTTTAATTACAAAAAACAACCAACAACTCTATACACACAAATAAGGGAAAAGAAAAAAGCCAACGGGATAGAGTTAATATTCTTACAAAAAAAGCACCAATAAATGATCAACCTCACTGCTTATCAAAGAAATGCTAGTCAATGCATCAATGCTATATCATCAACCTAACAAAGGTTATAAAAATTAATGAGTTTTGGGGAGAAGGGGCACACTGCCTTATCACAACAATAAAAACTAACGAACATTAACACTTTCTGAGTAGCTACTATGTATTAGGCATCGTTCTCAGTGCTTTACATGTAGTAACTCATTCAATCCTCCTGACTCTCTCCTGTGAGAAGAGTATTACTCTGAAGCCCATTCTGAGGATCAAAAGCATGTAGAGATTAATCTAACCAAAGTCACAAAGCAAATAAATTAGCAGAACCAGAAAATGTAAATTAATACAGTCCTTTCAAGGGCAATTTTGCAACAGTCATCAACAACCTTAAAATGTACTACTTTTGACCTAAAATTTCAATGCTAAAAATCTATCTTAAAGAAACAGATCTGGACACTCCTTTATGTCCAATAACAGAAGACTGGACTACTATGCAGACATACCATTCTGGATTGAACACATGCATTTATCTCTACTCCCTTCCCAAACACCACTAAAATCAAAGTTAAAGAATGAAAAAAGATATAAAGCCATAAGGAAAAGAAAAGTAGAGAACAATCAAGGGAGATGACAGAGATCAAAAAATTGTGGGAGACGAAAAGGAGAGAAAAAAGTGGTAAGTGACTAAGCACATGAAAGGAAGACGAAGACTGAATGCCTTCAGACCGCTATGCTAGTGAGAAGCAAGCCACTATATATACCCTAGAACCCCAGAAAAGCTTAGGAATTAAAGCAAGCAAGTACTATGCTTATGAGAAAAATTTGTCATATACATAAAAAACGAGCAACAAAAAAATCTAGTTAACTACTGACTTCAGAGAAAACAAAAGACTGTACACCAAAGAAGATATAATTATGTAATCATGTTACTTGGTTCAGCAGCTAACACTATTTATATATTCACAATAATGTAGACACAACCAAAAATTGTGCTAAATCTTCCTATAAATCAATAGATTCTAAAAATAATAAATCAAGAAACACCAATTTTATATGTTATTTAGAAACATGAAGAAAATGCCAGAAGAAATTGGTTAAGAGTTGAAAGTAACTCTAGGAAGAAGTGTGGCACGGAAATGCTTTTTTAAAGTAAGTCATAATATTACTTGATTTTTTATACTATTAGGTAATAGCAGAGTAATTTTAAAAAGAAAAAAATTTGTTGCAAAAAATTATAGAATATTCAGAAAGACACAAATAAAACATAAATCTCCTATAAAATCTACCAACCAGAAATAACCACTGTCTATATTTTGGTATCATTCAGCCCCTGTTCTATACCTATATTTAATTTACATATTTTAGAAAATTAGGCTCCTCCTAACTACACTGTTTTGTAATCTGCTGTCACTTAATTTTTTATGGGCCTTTCCTCAGTAATTACATATATATCTACAATATGAGGAACAAAATGAGTACCCTAGACCAAGTTTTTACATGATCTGAAGTAAGACACTCTTACGATAGAGTTAGTCATGTCAATAAAAAGTACATGAATTTGATAATGGACTTGCTTTGTTCAAAACTGAGTGGGAATGTATTTCTTCAGAAAAAATAAGATTAAGAATAATGTAAAATTTTCTTTACTGCATAATGTAAAATGTAAAAATAATGTTTATAATAGAAATTAGTTTGCTCTCTCCAACAACAATTCCTTTGCCTGGGGAAAAAAGAAGTGTTTTCACATTACTAAAAAAAAAAAAAAAATCAAGTTACAAAGTAGTCTATATAGTATGATCCCTAATTTGTTTCTTAAAATGTAAACAGTATAGGGGAAAACAAGCCTGGAAAGACATACACCAAAACATCAACAGTAGTTCTTTTTTAGTAGCATGATTATGGATGATCTTTATTGTCTTCTTAATGCTTTTCTAAATTTTCCTCAATGCACTGGTACTACTTTTGGAATTAGAAAAGACGGCTTTTTGGGGCCGGCCTGGTGGTGTAGTGGTTAAGTTTGCTCACTCTGCTTCGGCAGCCCAGGGTTCGCAGGTTTGGATTCCGGGCGCAGACCTACACACCACTCATCAAGCTACGCTGTGGCAGCATCCCATATACAAAAAAAAAAAGAGGAAGACTGACAACAGATGTTAGCTCAGGGCCAATCTTCCTCACCAAAGGAAAAAAAGAAAAGACAGCTTTACACTCTTAAGAAACTGTCCAAAGTCAATGCTATAAATGAAAGATAACAAGGGTGTGGATAGTTCAAAAGTGACTTATATGATAGCTAGACTTGTTTTGACATTTTGTGAATTTCCTCAATGCATTTCCACACTGCACTGAAACTTTATTTACTTGACATTCGTTAGGTCTTTTGTTCTTTCATTCAACAATTACTAAAGATTCTATTATGTGCCAGGCACTGCTCTAGGTATTGAGGGCTTAGCAGTGAACAAAACAGATGAAGTCTCTATCCCTCTTTCATAGGGAAGACAAATACTAAAAACACTTGAACAGAAACATACTTTTAGGGGCCAGCCCAGTGGTACAAGCAGTTAAGCATGCGCACTCCGCTGTGGCAGCCCGGGGCTCGCCGGTTCGGATCCCAGGCGTGCACCGACGCACCGCTTGTCAAGCTATGCTGTGGCGGCATCCCATAAAGTGGAGGAAGATGGGCATGGATGTTAGCCCAGGGCCAATCTTCCTCAGCAAAAAAAAAGGAGGATTGCTAGATGTTAGCTCAGGGCCGATCTTCCTCACACACACACACAAATATATATACTTTTAGTGGCAATACAAACACAAGCACACAACACACACACACAAACCTACTTTCAAGTGTGATGAAGAAAAGTAAAGACAGATGAAGGATTAGAGAGATACTAAGGTGAGAAGAGATGATTGTTTTAGTCAGGGAGGCCTTCTGAGAAAGTGACATCTGAGCAGAGAACTGAATGAAAAGAGCTAGCTATGTAAAGACATGGGAGAACAGGCTAGGTGGAGGGATTAGCAAGTAAAAAGGCCTTGAGATGGCAATGAGCTTGGAATGTACAAGAATAGTGCGAAAAAGAGCAGTGTGGTAAAAGTGGAATGAGCAAGGGGGAAAGCAGTAGTAGATGATACAGAAGAGGTGGTTGGGGGTCAGATCATGTAGGGCCTTATAGGTCCACCCAGGGATTCTGAATTTATTCTAAAGGTGACGCAGGGCCGGCCCCGTGGCTTAGCGGTTAAGTGCGCGCGCTCCGCTGCTGGCGGCCTGGGTTCGGATCCCAGGCGCGCACCAACGCACCGCTTCTCCAGCCATGCTGAGGCCGCGTCCCACATACAGCAACTAGAAGGATGTGCAACTGACATACAACTATCTACTGGGGCTTTGGGGGAAAAAAATAAATGAATAAATAAAATTATTAAAGGTGACGCAAAGGCACTGAGTCCTTAAAGAATCACTTTGCCTGCTGCATGGATAACAGATTCTGTAAGGGAATGAAGGGAAGCAGGAAGACCTGTGAGGAGATTATTACAGGTGCCCAGGCAAGAAACAATGATGGCCTGGACCAAAGTGGTAGGGCAAGAGGATGAGATGTGGTCTGACATGGATATATTTTGGTGGTTGATCCTATATAACTTGCTGATGAATTACATATAGGGAATGAGGAAGAAATTTTAGATGATTCTTAGGTTCTTGGGGTGAATGGTGGTATCATTCACTGAAGCAGACTGGTGGAGAAACAAGTTAGTGAGTGGCAGAAATCAAGAGACCCGTTTCGGACATGTTAACTGTGAGATGACCATTAAACATTCAGGTCAAGATGTCAGGTAGACAAACTTACCTAGAGTCTGTAGTTCATGTGCAAGTTGGGGCTGAAGATGTACAAATGATAGTTAAAGGTATGGGACTAAATGTCATCTCCCAGGGTGTGAGGGCAGAGAGGAAAAAGAAGACAGCCAGAGATAGCCCTGAAGTCTGCTAACTTTAGAGTTAGCAAAGGGGAAGGCAAGTGACCAGTAAGGTGTCCCAGAAACCAAGAGAATAAAGTGTTCCCAGCAGGAGATAGTAATCACCTGGGTCAGAGCTGCTAAGTATGGTAGGTAAGATAAGGTTTGAGAACTGGTGACCTTGACAAAGGGAGCTTCAGCAAAGTGACGGAGGACAAAAATTGGTTTATGTTCAAGAGAGAACTGGAAGACAACAGCATACAGACAACTCTTTTAAGGCATGTTTATTGCTTTATGGATAACAGAATTGACCACTGCATCTCTAGCATCTCGCTAGCTCTTGGCATAGATTAAGTGTGAAATAAGAGTTACTAAATCAATGTCAAATCTGAAAATTCCCAATACTTCAAACCATATCAAGAAACTCGAATGGCTGAGAGATGGACAGCTTCCTGCTCATCTCATTCTGTTCCTAGTATAATTCTTTATGCTCTTCCCTCCATGAGGATGAACTGCAAAAACATAAGCTTCTGTCTTTCATAACATGGTGTATATCTGAGATCAAAAGGTAATTAATTAGCATTGTGATTGGCAGCTGAACCAAGAGATATGAGCAAGACCTCCCCTTTTTGCTCCTCAATTTTCCAGAGGTTATATATAATAAAAGTCAACAGATAAATTATAAACATGTCACCAGGGGTTAAAAAAAAATAGTGGTCAAGTCGTTTAAACAAAATATCTTATTCCAAACCCTCTGCTGAGACCTGAAAAATGGCCACTTTAATTTCCAACATGGATAATTGTCCCTCCCCCAATTCAGATACCCTTCCCTTCATCGCAGCGTAACAGTGAAGCCTTTGTGGCAAAAAGACAATGTCCAGAAAACAGTCAGGTTTCCCTACCTGACAAAATGTCTTCTGCTAATTCCTTTTCTCTTTCAATTTTTTCCTCTAGAGTTGAAATGCAGAATTCATAGCCAGCAAGAGCAAATTCCTGTCTGTAAAGCAAAGATCAGCAATTGGCTGTTCACCATTTCACAAACTCCTCTTCTATCCTCATTTTCCCAGCTTGGGTTTGAGCATTATCAATAAAGGAAGTGTAAGATGGGAAGAGACAGTTTTGTTTCAAGTCTCTAAAAGGTGTCAATCTACCATTTCTCAAAAGGTTTTTTTTTTTAGTCACCCATTTAATGTAACTTAAGACATAAAAAGCTAGGAATACTGCCACAGTTTTAGTAACTGACATAACCAGCAGTTTTCATCTCCCACTAACAGTTTCAAGTAAGCCAGTTTCTCTGTTTATGAAAGTCTTACACCTGCTCAAAGTAATACTAATATGGGTGGAGGCTAAGGCCACCCAGCACTAGGATTCTAACTACTGACCTCATACAATTTCTGGAGAGTTTTATTAGCTTTCTACTTCTTCCAAGCTGTAGATCTTTGATGAAAGTTTCTTTTAAAGAAATGGAACTCCTAGCTATGGCACTAGAAGGCATTTAGCTTGACTCTAGCTCTGGACCCTCAGTCAAGTGGAAAGGACACCCAAGCAGCAGGCAGACTGACTCTGGATAGAACAAGTGTCAACTGCTGGTTTCTATAAAGAGATGCACAGAAACATGACAGAAATTCCTTCTCCATCCAGAAGCTCAGCCCTGGTTCTTGCTCTTCCGTTTTGGCTCTAGTTTTTTACCAGAAGTGGCACTACAAAGCTTACCCCTTCTCCTGGTGCTTTGCCAGGGGAGAACAGATGACCCCACAGTTTTAGTCTGTTCTCAGAAGAACCGAAGCTTCCCTGCCAAAGCTTGGCAGGAGGACCCTATTCAGCCAGGACATGGAGCAAGGGGTGGCTGCCCACAAGATGCTCCTAGTCAGAGCAAAATGTCTAGAAACAACTCCCCTCCTAACTAATCAGCCTTTCTAAGTCTGAAGATCTGGCCATATATTTTCTGGTCTCATGCTTCTCTTAATAAAACAAAATGAAAAAACACTTTTGAGGAGAGTATAGAGTAACTTAGAGGCTAATTATTAGTGGCTATTACACAAGCTTTCACCTCTATAAGACCATGAATGTCTTTCTCTCCAGTGTTATTAGCTTTGAGCTTCTTATCCTAGAATTTCATACCACATCAACATCTAGTCCTGTTTGTTACTCCTCCAAGGGAGACTGATCCCAGCTGCAATGCTCCTGACATGCCCAACCTCAAAGCTCCTCGAAAGACTTGAAGTCCAAGGCCCTCAGAAGCTCTAGCTTATCTGGTGTCCAACCAAATGCAGGGAGACTAAGTGGGTCCTGCTAAGAATGAAGGAGCTGGTGACTAGGGGAGCAGGGACCAGTGCCAGGACCCTTGGCCTCAATGAGCACTCTTTCTGGAGCACTAGGCTTGATGTCATTTAAAACCTCTGGTATCCAACTTCTGCAGTAACTAAAAACCTAAGGAAAAGCTACTCTTAGGTCTTCCCTTAAATTCACCCAAGGGGCCGGCCCGGTGGCACAGCAGTTAAGTGCGCATGCTCCGTTTCGGCGGCCCAAGGGTTCGCAGGTTCGGAACCCCCGTGTGCACCGACACACCACTTGTCAAGCCATGCTGTGGTGGCGTCCCATATAAAGTAGAGGAAGATGGGCACAGATGTTAGCCCAGGGCCAGTCTTCCTCAGCAAAATAGAGGAGGACTGGCATCAGATGTTAGCTCAGGGATGATCTTCCTCACAAAAGAAAAAAAAAATCATCTGAAAATACAAATCTCTAGAGGAGTTCTCTGCTTACATCCTACCTGTTTCTCCTTTGAACTCCACCCAGAGAGAATGAAAGGCACCAGGCCTCACTCATCAGTATTCCTGATCTTTGGCACACATCCAAATTGTTTTCTAAAGCTTTTCCTGTGTAGCTGGCAGGCGTTTTCTTCTTTACACAAATTTAGACTCATCTAATACTTTTAAATTAGCACCGACTTCCTGTCCTACTTACTCAAAGGTCTCTCTTTTACTCCTAGATATTTCCCCTTCCTAAAAACCTAGCTACCTGATCATCTCTACATGCTTTAAAAACACTGCCCACTCAACTAGCCAGAGACACTCCCACAGCAACTCTCTCATCATTTAACTTTATACCTAACTTCCTGGTTTGTTGACACTTATATCAGCAAAATGGTTTCTTTAAAGTATATTATCCCCAGCAGCCTCTACATTGTTCCCTCCTCTTCAAGGAAGAGCTAAACTAAAGTTCTGCCTATAACTTCCCGCCCCACTTCAACACGGAACAGAAAACTTAATTAGCTCTGTCACAGTGAGCCAGAGGTGTGAGGGCTTTCTGCCCCACTCAGCAGGCTAATGGAAACAGCAGGGGCAAAACTGGAAAAGATGAAGATTTCAGAGATGAGGGAGGGAACACCTTGAGTGTGACATCCAATTTTTTGGAGACCCAGATGATTAGTAGTAGTAGGTAAACGAAAATTATAAAACATCCAACAGGCAAAGATTTCTGCCCATAGCCCTACCCCCTGGCTGCTGCTACACCTAGATTCTGACTATACTTACCTATTCTGAGCAGCATAGATACTGGCCAGCTTTAGAGAGATTTCAATGATTGCATTGTCTTCCTGTTGGGAGAAAGAAAAATGAAGGATATTCATGACAAGTAAAATTCCCTCAAGAATATTTCAGATCAACTTCTAGACTGACTTTGGCCTGAACGTCTTTATCCTTTAGGAGGATTTAGCCAGATTTAGCCAACTTTGAATTCCTCAGCTACCATGCTTTTGCATGAGTGAAAGACTGGCAGTTTTTATATAGGTCCTGGGGGAAAAAAAATCCACCTTTTTTGGCCAAAGCACATGTTGGGGACTGGGTGGAGTTTTCAGGAAGCAAGATTATTGTGAAAACTGCTTCAGCTACAGCCCAATCCTAGGCAACGTCCTTACCTGTTGCATGCCCCCTCCAAGCAGGTAACTCATTGTTGCTTTAAACAGTTTTTCTGCCTAAAAGCATAACGAAAAGACTTTTTTTGTTGAGGAAGATTGGCCCTGCGTTAACATATTTCTCTTTTTTCTCCCCAAAGCCCCAGCACATAGTTGTGTATCCTAGTTGTAGAGTTGTAGCTCTTCTCTGTGGGACACCGCCTCAGCATGGCTTGACGAGCAGTGAGTAGGTCCGTGCCCAGGATCCAAACCAGCAAACTCCGGGCCACCGAAGCAGAACATGCGAACTTAACCGCTATGGCACTGGGCCGGCCCAAGATTTTTTTTTCACTTGGGCCCCAATATCTATATGACTCTGGATTCTAAGTACTAGTCTGATGCATCATTCCTTGTAAAGCACAATATACACACTCATATACACACAAAGTGCCCTTGTGATGGGAAAAAAGAATAAAATTCCAGGACCCCACGTCCTCTAGGCACCTTACAAACTATTCTGTGATGAGTAGAAACCAACTTCAGAAATTAACTTTTCATCCAAACCCACTGTGGCAGAGACTGCAAACTATTCCCTAATAGTCACTCTCCTCTCCATCTTTTTAGTTACAGAATCTCCTCAATTTTTAATAGGTCAGCATCCTTTGCAGTTTGGTGTGGTCGTATGATGAAGTTTTGGCCAAGAGATGAAGACAGAAGAAAATGTGAACAATTTTTAAATCATATTTTATAAGAAAGCTTCTTGCCCTCCATCCTCTCTTTCTTCCTTCCTGCAGGCTGGAGGTGAGCTAGCTCACCTATGTAGATGAGGACATGTCTTAGAAGGAACCTGGGCTTCTGGACCATTTCATGGAGCAGAGGTACCTATCCCTCTTCAGTGTTAGCTACCCCCGGACTAACGCGTTAAAGAGAAATATACCTCCTTCTCGTTTCAGTCCCTCTATTTTGGAGTCTCTTTGCTACAGCAGCTTAGCCCATAGCCTTATTAATAAAGTTCCCTTAAGGCTACTCCTTCATAAATTCAATATTATTCAAAATATTACGAAGTAATTTACTTACTTACATCTTCAAGCTGACCCCGTATATATGCTAAGTTGGCCATCTGAAAGCAAATTACAAATTGTTTTTCAGTTTAGAGCACTGTGTTCCTACTTATTTCAAAATCTTCAAGCTAAAGATTCCTTTTTGCTTTTACCCTCTAAATAAAAAAATAGTTCAGAGAAAGAAGTATGTCACTAATCTGCTAACAGCAAAGTTCAGCAACAGTGTGAGAGTAAACACCTGGATATACATACACTCTGCTGATGACAAACCAAATCTAAATCCACTCATTGCTGAAGAAACAAATATTGTCAAATTTGATCTGGGTTTGAGACTTCTTATAAGTGACACCCCAAGGGTAATAAAAATTGAAACCAAAAGAAAACTTAGTAAAACAAAAAACCAAAGCGTTTTAGGACATCCTGAAGGCCAGGAATATAAATCAGGAGAGCTAAAAACTCTTCTCTTGCATCTATCTTTCATCATCAGGGACTCAGATTGGTTAGAAGAGTTACCAAATCATAAGTGTAAGTGATGGCCTTCTTGTTATCACTCTGATAGGCAAGACGAAGAGCGTCATGCAAAATTAGCTCAGCCTCTTCTGGCTCATCTTTCATGATGCTCAACTGAAAAGAAAAAACAAAGAAAATAATAGGAAATGAAATGTAAAGAAAGCAGATGCATGTGCTACCAGACAGAATCGGATACGCCTATACACTCCAATACATACAAGGAAGCTATTCATTCATTCATCAAATATTTACTGAATTCCTACTATGCACCAGGCATTATGTCTATAATGGTGACAGAGGAGGTCAGCTTTTGTTGCAGCTATATGTGTAGCCATATGACAAAGTTCTGGCCAATAGATGCAGGCAGCAGGAATATGAGCAATCTTTATACCATATTTTATAAGGAAGCTGCTTGCCCTACATCCTCTTTCTCTCTTCCTGCAAGATGGAAATGACCCTGTAGGACAAGTAAGCTTAATTACAACTAATGATAGGAGCTATAATGAAAAACAATGGAAAGGAACATCTAAACAGAAGTCAGAAAAGCCTTCCAAGGAAGTGACAGTTAAACTGAAGTAGGAAGGATGAGAGTCAGCCAAATAAGGAATTATGGGGAAAAATGACCCAAACAGAGAGCAGGGAATGAGTGAAGGCCCTAGAGGCTGAAGAGAATGGTTCTTCAAGAACCATTCAAGAAATGAAAGGAAACAGATGTGAAGTGAGGATGGTGAGCCACAGGATTATTGCCAAACGAGCAAGCAAGGCAGGGTGGTGTAGACCATGTAGGGTCTTGCAGGCCATGGCATAAGAGTTTAGATTTTACCATAAATGCAGTGGGAAGTCATTCAAAATCTTTAGGCAAGGAGGTGATATGGTCTGACTTACATTTTAAAAAAATCACTCTAGCTGCTGCATGGAGAATGAATTGTAAGGGCGGAGCAACAGAGCAGACAAGACTACTAGATAGTGGGCTGCAGCAACAGTAGAGTGACAGCAGGAGAGACAGAGAAAAGGGGGCAGACTTGAGAAATATCTTGGATTTGGTGGCAACAGGATTTGTTGCTGGACTGTAAGTGAACTGGGAGGCGATGGTAAGGTACCACAAGTTTTAAGAATGACTGTGAGGTTTCCAGGCTGAAAAACTGGGTAGACAGTAGTAAAGAGAAGATGGTGAAGGAATGTGTCGGGGAGGCATTTAAGATCAAGAGTTTAGCTTCGGACAGGTTAAGTCCGAGAGGTAGGAGGGAACTCAAAGTGCGGACGGCATGGCAGGAGCACACTGCAGTATGGGAATATATAATTTGGACGTTGTTGGCTGGCCTGGAGGCGGTTGTTAGTACAATGGAAGAGATGCGATAACCTGGGGAGGAGAAGAAAAAATAGAAATGATTGTGGACAAAAGGAAGAGTTTAAAAAGACAGAACCAAACCGCGCATAACCAACACTAAACTGCATTTTCAGGACGCTACATAGGTGCAAAATTCTCTATGCCAGTCCTTTCAGCTTGGCGGGTTCACTGATAAAAACAACTACAAAACACTTCTGCAAATTTTGTTTGGATAAAAGGCCGATGCCTGTGGTGCCATCTCCATTTCCACCCGAGACTGCAGCGGTTTCACTGCAGGCTTTAGAGTCTGACGAGCCTAGATGGATCCTAACCCCCGCCCCCATGACCCATCTAATTCCGGGTAGTCTACCCTCGGAGCCTCCACCGAGTCCTGGGTAAACGAGAGAGGAATGCGCATCGACAAGGCCTCCAGGCTCGCGCACACGGGCCGCCTCACCTTGGCTCGCTTCAGCAGCTGGATGATCTCGGCCTCGGCCTCGTCCGCCGCGTCCCCGGCGGCGGCCCCGCCCGCTCCCCGCCGCTCCTCCTCCTCCTCCGCAGCGGGCCTCGAGAACCAGGAGAGGGCTGCGGGAAGGCGCTCTGAGGTCACCGGGCCCGGCCCGCGCCCCGACCCCGGCCCAGACGGCCCCGCCCCGCCCGCGCCTCTCACCTGCCAGCAGCGGCAGCAGGCCCGGACCCCGGCCGGGCGGCGCGACTCGGGAGGCCGGCACCTCCACCTCGGGCAGCCGGCCTCCTGCCGGCCCCAGGAGCGGGCGCGCCGGCCAGCCCCGGCACCGCCGCCCAGCGGTCCGCAGGAGACCTCGGCCTAGGCTCCGGCTCAGCAGTTGGTACATGCTCACGCCGCGTCCTCTGCGCACTGCAGGCCCGGCCGGACCGCGGGACGTCCCGCCCCCGGCGCCCAGCTCCCGCCGGATTGGTAGGGCCGTGGCGTACGAGGAGGCGTCATCGTCGCCGCCCGCATGCGCGATAACGCACGTGACGTCACCGCGCCTCGCCCCGCCCCGGCTGGCGGCGGCAATTCCCCGCGCGTCTGTCGCAGCGTCGCGCCGGCTGGTCTTCCTGAGGAGGCCGCCGCCTGTAAGCGCCATGGCTGTTGCCTTGCCGGCGGTCACGTTGCCGGCTGTGGTGGAGGAACTTCTAAGCGAGATGGCCGCGGCAGTGCGGGAGAGCGCGCGAAGTACGGGCCTGAGGGCGTGTGTAGCTGCGTCGTGGGCCGCGGACTCGCCCCGCCGGGCGGGGGGCGAGAGGCCGGGGTTTCGGCCTGCGGGCGCTGCATTGGGGCCCCGGCCCCGCGCTCTAGCCCTGGCCCGTCCGTGCTCTTTTGTGGTGTGGTTCAGTGGCCAGACCTCCTAGTCGTAAAACAACAAAAAAAGAAAGGATAAGAAAAGGTGGAAGTGTTGAGGGCACAGCGCGGTTCCTCCTGCGGCCCCTCCTCAGGGAGCGAGCAGGCCAGGGGGGAGCCCGGGACGGAGGTGCCGAGCGCGGCCAGAGGACGCGTGTGAAGGGGCCCCGGGCCGGAGCGCGGAGGGCCCGGAGCCCACGCGGACTTACAGAGAGGTGAAGTTCTGAATTGTTCAAGTTGCCTGCAGGCGTTTTCCCTCAGGATCTTATGTTAACTTTAAAATTAATTCTCTCATACGCCTTGTTCAGCAAGTAAATATTTTAGGGCCAGAAACCCAAATGCGTACGCAGTGACGAGTAAATCTGAGTAAATCTGGATACTGTGAAAGTACCTTTTCTTTCCTCCGACCAGCAGAGGATGCTGTGAGACCGCGCTCACCAGAAGCACCGAGCTGGTCTCAAGATGTGTTCGCAGCGTACTAGTATCAAGAGGATACGTGTAATCAAAATGCACCGACTGCTTAGAACTACCCACCAGTGTAAAAATGGCCGTTTAACAAATAGCAGATTAGGCCTCAATACGGCCACTGCTTATTCGCGTGGATGGCTCTTGTGTTGAAACGACTGCACTTTGAAAGGGTTTATCTTGACGTAGTGTTTTCAGAAGATTGAGAAGAGTAAGCCAACTTGTTTTTTCGTTCCGGTTCAAACTAACACAGTATACGTGCTTGGAAGATTAGGCAGCCAGGTGTTCAAACACGTTCTGACCCCAGCGAGGCTGGGGGAAAGCCAGTCTGATGTGGCTCCCACAGTGGTTGACAGAAGCGGGCCCTGTCCGAGTGGATTAATCCGTACACCGTGACAGCCTTGAGGGGTGCCGCTGGTGCTCGTGGCTCAGACCGAGGGACTGCTGCCGTTGATTGATGTTTATTTTCAGCAGAACCGCTTTCTGCTATTTTAAAGTCTTGGTTGTAGATAGTGATACACTGTTCCTGACCCCCATCCGTCGATGGTAGTTTTTTTAGATCAAGATCCTGAGTTTACACTTGTATGAGGAGGTAAAGTCTAGTTACAGCTGAGCCATGTAGGAAGCTATGATTCACTTTTCCTTTCCTGCATAACTTTTTGTTTTCCCTGGAATTAATAACTGTCGTGGTTGTGTGTGTTTGCTTGTTTAGTTTTCTACATATTTATCCGTAATTCAACCTCAAACTCTTTACCAGTGTTGTAGATCCCTACTCAAGATGTTCAAGTGAATGTTTCATCAATTTCGTTTTCCTGTAGAAGTCTCTCCTAGAGCCTTCTGAGTTACTCTGATGATGGACCAGCTGCTCTCCCCGCTATCTCCTGAGATCTCTTCACCATTATTATCCTGGGGATTTCCTTTGCCTATGTTGAGCCTTATGTTGAGTATATCCTACAATTTTCTTTTTATGAGTTTACTATCTTATTTTATAGAGCTCATACTCTAGAACCTTCCTGAAGAAGAGTACATGAGATGTACTTTTTGAGGCTTTACATGTTTGAAAAAGTTCTTTTTCTATTCTCACACTTAATTGATAGTTTGGCTAGGTTTTGAATTATATGTTGGAAATAATACTTCTTCAGCCATCTGAAAGCATTATTCCAGTACCTTCTAGCTTCTTAAACTTATTTTAAAAGAGTCCTTCTTATTTTAGCCCCCCTGCTTCATCCCCTGCTCCAGAGCTATCTGGTGCCACCAGTTGCTGAGGGATTTTTTTTTTTTTTTTTGAGTGGGAGAGTGGATTCTGGAATGTAATCAGGTTGTTGCTTAGCTCTCACCATTGCTGGCTTAGGATTCAATTTTCTCAGGTCTTGTAAATTATTTTCCAGTGTATCTTAGCTGTTGTGTCTCCCTGTCTTTCTCATCCTTGGGAGTTTAGGCTTTTTAAAACAAATCCCTCTACTGTTGTTTAGTGGAATATTGGGAAGGAGTAAAATTAGGTGCACAGGCTCAATTCACCATCTTACACAAAAGTCTTTTTAGTTATAGTCTTTTTAAGATTTTTATGTCTGTGGTCACTGGTTTAACATGATTAACTTTCTTTCCATTTCCTGTTTTACAGTTCCTGATGAGCATCTTTTATCGTAAGTACATATGCTGTCATATTTGTTTTTTTAACCATTAATGTATTTTAAAAGCCAAATCCTTTCAACATCAACTCTTGATTTTTGAAAATATTCTTACTAAACTAGGAACAATATTTTCTTGACATGATTGTTAAAAATCTGTCTCAAGTGAATAGCCAACACCATATTTGACGGTACAAGGCATTCCCATATTGTCCTATGCCACTTTTGTTTAACATTGTTCTAGAAGTTGTAGCTGTTACACTAACACATGAAAAATTAGAAGTATACCTGTCTGCAAGGAAAGACAGTTATTATTATTTGTAGATGATATAACTATTTTTTAAAAACCAAGAGGATAAAGTTATTTTTTTTAAATACAGAAATTAAAAATCATTTTCTTTCATACACAAAGTTCAAAAATATAATTACTTTCTCAATAGCAATAAAAAAGTGAAAGCTACTTAGGGATAAGTGACATTTAATTGCATATATACACTTATATTTAAAAGTCCAGGAGGATATACACCAGCCTATACCAGTGATTATCTTAGGGGGAAGGAAAGAGGGGAATTTAGAAAAGAGCTCTAACCTTTTCTCTGTTTCTGAAGTTTTCTACAAAGATTATACATTACTAGAAAAAAATAGCTACTTATAAAACAAAGAAAATTGGCAAATAAAAGAATGCAAATTACTGAAAACTTTGGGAAAAAAAGATGAATCTTACTAGTGATCATAAAAATACAAATTAAAATGGTGAGATAACCTTTCCATCTATAAAACTGACTACCACAGAAAACATGTTGGTAAGAATGTTCCAGATGTTGACAGGAACGTGGAGAAAAGGATAACTGATACCCTGTTGGTAGGAGTGTAAATTGGAAGGTAATCTGGCAACGGGCAATAGACGCTTTAAAACATACACATTCTTTGACCCAGAAATATGACTTACAAGAATGTATCCCAAGGAAGTAATCATGGATGTTCATAAAGATTTTACAGTGAGCATCCAGTATTGTTTATGGTAGGAAAAAAAAAGCTTGGAAACAATCTAGTTATTCAAATTAGATTTGATAAACTCTAATCCAAAAATAGAGTTTGGGGAAGTAAAAGTAGTTCATCTTTACAATGGAATTCTTTGTAACCATTAAAAGTGATATAAAAAAATATTGCATTCAAGAGATGTTTATAATATGTTATGAAGTGTACAAGGCAGGTTGAAAAAATTCTTTTTAGATCCATTTTTAAAGTTAATGGTGATTATCTCTGATTGATAAAGTTACCACCACGTTTTATTTCTTTATTTTTTTTGTCCATAGGCAGTCTTAATATGCTTAATGTAAAAAATTTAAAAACTCTTCCCATTTAAATAGTTTGTTGTATAAAGAGACTAGTTTCTTGGAAAGTGAAGTTGAACATTTTAATTTTGAAGGTTTAGTAGTTCTGTCTTCTTATTTTGTGTAAAAATCCTATGGGTTCTTTAAAACATTAACTCTTCAATTTTAGTTCAACCCAGCCATTTTATTTTCCAGTTTATAAAAATAACCTATACTCATTAAAAAAAATGTTCTTGGAAAATAAAGAAAACATAAAAAGCATCAACATTATACCACCCAGTGATAATCACTGTTACATTTCAGTTTATTGCCTTCTTTTTTAAAAATTAAACATTTTATTTTGAGATAACTGTAGATTTTCTTAAAAATTTTTTTCACATGATTGAGTTTCTCAATATACAGTTTTATGCCTAAGCTTTCTCACCTAACATAAGAATTTTCCCACCTATCAAATTTTTTCTGATATATCATTTAACAGCTCGATAGCCTTTATTATTAATCCAAAAAGTACAAATTTAACACTCATCAGATGGTCAGACATGAAAAAGTCTGATAATGCTGTGTTGGTATGGATGTGGAGAAAATAGAACTCTCATTCAGTGCTGATGGGAGTGCCTTTTCCACAGTGGAAAGCTATTGGCAACACTTGTTAAGATTTAAAAATGCATATATCCTAAGACCCAGCATTTCTACTTTTACTTACATAACCAGGAAGAATTCTCATATATGTACACCAAGGGACATGTACAGGGATAATCGAGTATTATTTATAATAGTGTAAAATGGAAACAATCAGAATGCCCATCAATAGGGTATTTAAAAAGTAAAATGTAGTATGCACATACAATGGAATATTATTCAAAAGTTAAACTTGAAAAAAATAAATATATCAGCATGCATCATTTTCAAAAGCACATTGAGTAAAAAGAACAAGTTCCCAAAAAACCCTACAATATACCTTTTATGTTTTAAAACTTATAAAACAATGGCACATGTATATGTGTGTATGTATGTGTACATGTATGTATATACTATGCATAATAAAATCTAAAAACATTAATAGGAAAGAAACCGGCAAATGCACATGGTGGCCTCAGGGATGAAGGGAAGATGGGAAGAAAAATAGGAAGCACCACGAAGTATACAGAGGGCTTCTGTATCTGTAAACAACATGTTAACATTTATTCTGAGGAGTTGATTACATGGATTTTGCTGTATTACCTTTTTTTCCCAAATTAAAATGAATTGATTTTTTTTTTTTAAATGCTGTTAGTTATCCTTTGGGTCAAGTTACCAGGGTGACTTTGAGAGTCAGGCAATCTAATCTGAAGCCTTTCTATTTCCCAGGCTAAAGTTTGTCTTTGGCTCATCAGCCGTCCAAGCCTTGGACCTAGTTGATCGGCAGTCCATCACCTTAATCTCATCGCCCAGTGGGAGGCGTGTTTACCAGGTAGAAATCTAGATGTGGGGATAGTCTCAATAGAAACCCCTTGGGACAAAATGTTTTCATGAATCTCTCTGGAAGCTGGTGACCAGCTTTAAGTATTAGCTGGACTGAAAAACATTTGACTCAACTTAGTAAAATTAGTGTATTAGTAATAAAAGTAAAATAAATATGACCTATTAACTCTGCCTAATAGCAGTATGTAGAACCGGCAATGATGTGGAGAGGCTTTTTTCTCAGGTCGACTTTTGCTTTCCCATTGTTTGATAATAGAGGCACTTTTCCCCCCAAATAATGTATTGACATTTTCACCTTGTTCATTATCTCTTGCTTACAAGCAAAAGCCAAAATGTGTTTTGAGGCCCTTCTACATGCTTGGATTCATCTATCAGAAATGTTTTTTCAAAATTGTTGTCAAGAAGTATTTATTAAGGGTCAAACTGTGCTGAACGCAGGCAGTCTACTTGGACCTTAGTTTTTTGTTTTTTTTTTGTGAGGAAGATCAGCCCTGAGCTAACATCCATGCTAATCCTCCTCTTTTTGCTGAGGAAGACCGGCTCTGAGCTAACATCTATTGCCAATCCTCCTCCTTTTTTTCCCCCAAAAACCCACAAGATAGTTGTATGTCATAGTTGCACATCCTTCTAGTTGCCGTATGTGGGACGCGGCCTCAGCATAGCCAGAGAAGCGGTGCGTCGGTGCGCGCCCGGGATCCGAACCCCGGGCCGCCAGTAGCGGAGCGTGCGAACCTCACCACTGAGCCACGGGGCCGGCCCTTGGACCTTAGTTTTGCCCTCTAAAGCTTAAGATAGGTAGATTTGTAAAGTAACAGCCCCTTATCAGACTCTGAATTACTTCCATGTGTTATTGATAATTTTATTCAAAAGCGCAGCAAGGTATTTTGCGGGAGACTGAGATGCAGAAAAGTAAATTAACAGTCACATCTGGCAGCTGGAATTTGTAACTGCTATCCCACACTTCCTGTCTTTATATAAGCAATGGGCCAAACTCCAACCCACCTCCACCTCCCACCCTTCACCCCCAGTTTAGCTATATGAGACAATGGTATGTGCAGCTGGGATTGAGGGAAGGGAATATTGTGAATGAAATAAAAATATTGGCAATGATCTGCAAAGTTTTGTTTCTGGCTTGTAAGGGGTAAAAAAAGCCATCAGCTCTTGTACATAATCCAGATCTTGCTGAAGACCAGAAAGGGGGAAATTTTTCAGTGTTTGGATTCTGGTTTATTTACAATGAACTCAGCTGAAACCATGTCAGTTAATTCTTAGTGAGTGAATGACTTGAGCAAAGCTTGCTTGGGCAGATAGGTGCTTTTGCTTAGTGAATTAACTTGCTATTCCATATTGTAGCATAACAACTGAGCTGGCAAAATCTTTGTGCATTTCTTCATTAAGGAAATGGGGTAATTAGTGTTGAATGCTGCAGTTAAAACTTTTGAATTGTATTTACTTAAAAGAGGCTGCCTATTAGAATTTTCTCATGGTGAATGTATAGATTAATAATCAGAGCTATTAAAGGATGTTGTTTGTACCTGAGGAGGTATTTGTTTTCTTTCTTAGTGTTTTTTTGTGTGTGTGAGGAAGATCAGCCCTGAGCTAACATCCATGCTAATCCTCCTCTTTTTTTTTGCTGAGGAAGACTGGCTCTGAGCTAACATCTATTGCCAATCCTCCTCCTTTTTTTTCCCCAAAGCCCAGTAGGTAGTTGTATGTGATAGTTGCACATCCTTCTAGATGCTGTATGTGGGACGCGGCCTCAGCATGGCCGGAGAAGCGGTGCCTTGGTGCGTGCCCGGGATCCGAACCCAGGCCGCCAGTAGCGGCGCGCACGCACATTTAACCGCTAAGCCACGGGGCCGGCCCCCTAGTGGTTTTTTTTGTAAGGAAGATCAGCCCTGAGCTAACATTCACACCAGTCCTCCTCTTTTTGCTGAGGAAGACTGGCCCTGAGCTAACATCCGTGCCCATCTTCCTCCACTTTATGTGGGACGCCACTACAGCATGGCCTGACAAGCTGTGCGTCGGTGTGCACCCAGGATCCGAACCCGGGCCCACCAGCAGCGGAGTGCACGCACTTAACTGCTACGCCACGGGGCTGGCCCCAGCCTGGTGTTTTTATTTTTGGTTTTTATGTAGCTAAAATACCCTAAATGAGAAGGGCCTTTGAGTTTTTCCCGTGTCTTTTAGTTTCAGAGTTTTTTGTCTCAGTTCAAGTATTAGCATAACAGTTGACCTGCGCAAGCAGACTTCTAACCGTCCTCTAGTTCTGTGATCTAGTTATTAGTTAAAATATTAAAGATTTTGTTTGAAATATTTTAATTATTGTTGACTTTTTGTTCCTCCCAGGATTACTGTAACTTGTTTAATTTTCATCATTCACATCCTGTATTATATTACATTGCTTTATTCATCATAAAAATGCTAACTTCCTAGAATTGGGGCTGTCAGCTTGGACTTGGAGGTAAATGAGGCTGTAGAAATCTTATATACACCCTCAAATTAACCTTAATGGTTTCATTGTATAGTAAGTAAGTAAGAATTTAGCTTATTCAAAGGTTCTGTGAGATGATAAAAGTTGAATCAGACATTGCCTTGATACCCCACTAGTTATCTTTCCATTGGTCAACCTGAAACCTTCTGATATTCTTACTGTCCTCTAGGTGTATGGTAATTATTGTAAAGTCACCATTATGCTGTTGTTACCTGAGTTGCTTTTTTATAAATGTTATTGGTTCACCTAGGAAGGGGGATGCATCAGTCACGAGAGGCTAAATTATGCTGTGGTAACAATGACCACAAAATTTCAAAGGCTTACAAAAACAAAGTTTTATATCTCATTCATGCTACATATCCATTAAGAGTCAATTGTAGCTCTGCTTCAAAACATCTTCACTGAGGGATCCCAGTTGGTGGAGCAGCCCATATCGGGAACATGGTGGATTTCGTAGCAGAGAGAAGAGAGGACATGGTATGCACCAATTTTTAATGTTTCTGCTTCCTCACAGTTTACTGGCCAAAGCAGGTCACATAGCCAATCTGTATTTAATGGGGCAGGAATGTATAATCCTCCTGCAGAGAGAGGCACTGAACACAGGGGATGATAAATAATACAGTTGACCACTGTGATGGATCCTAAGAGGCTTGGAACAGTCATGAAATTAACTGTACTTGTGAATGGATGACCATCTAGGTGGGTCACCCTCCTCAGAACCTAACTAAAACCATAGCAGACTTCCTCCACGTGAGATTCACACAAGTCTAGTCATGAGTCTGAATATCCTCTTTCCTGCATGTTTCCTCTTTTAAAAGCTCTCTCTTTCTGGAAATAAACATCCCAGACTATGAGTGGGAGAACTGGGAGCAATTCCTGTAAGAGGAGCTCATTTTTCCATTGAAGGGTGAAGGAATGCAATTAGATGATCCCTAAGATCAATTTCCAGTCTAAACATTTCTAACTCAGATTTTTGTCTGATTATTGGGTTCATTAGTTGTCCACTGCTAGATAAGGAAGAAACAAATTCAAAATTTATCTCTTTACAGTATTTACTGCCTCAGGCAGTTGAACATTATACTTTTGGCTTAGCCAGCCTTTGAAAGGTTCAAGCAAGGGAACCTCTAAATTTCTCCTCATCCCTAAGTCACCAAGGATTTATTCACCATAGTCCAGAGAGTATTCTGATGGATGGGGACCCCATGATAAGAAGGAACCAGTGAACCATTCAAGGCAGTGTAGAATTCCAGAGGCTTATGCCTGCTTAAATTTAAATCTAGAGAGAAGAAATACAGGAGATAACTAAAGGAAGAAGAAATCTAAAGTTTTATTCATTGGTAATAGTTTGGAGACCCAAGAATTGTTCATGTCATTGCTGGCTGTTGGGTTTTCTTCCAGAGTTAAGTGGAAGACAGTCTGCTTTAGTGCTATCCCTTCAGTTTAAGTTTTCCAGACAGACTAGAGAAATTCCTCCACTGATACTCAGTGGTATAGGTGATATGTTAAAAACACGTCAGCGTCTGGAGATTGGAAATATGTAAGATGTAATTTTTGCATACCTAATTTGTAACTGGGGCTGAAATTTTTACTGGGTATAGTAAGCATCTTCTTACCCAATCATTGGCCATTTCTGGTAATCTAGCAACCCCTGAGGAATTCTGCTGACTTGGTCAAAAAACTGTACTGATGTGGCTGCATCATGTGAATCAGTGGACATTTAACAAACAGAAGCACAATGCTTGAACACTGCTGTTCTTTGGTTAAAGCCTTACCTGTTGCTTTATTCTTTGTGGGAGAGAAAGAGGAAAGAATCCTGGGAGTGCTGACTCTCCACCCCATCCCCAAAAGTCCTAGCCTTTTCATTTAGATTGCTATCTTAGAGCCTAAAACTAATTTGAAAGCCCTATGGCAAATTCCTAAGTGGCAATTCTTTGTAAAATAACCCTCGGGATGTTTCTACTTCCCTTGGATACTAATTTTACACTTCCAATTTGGAAGTTAACTGTAGGAATGAAGCTATAGGGGAAGAGGGAGAATTCCCCCCACCCCACCCTTTCCCTTAAGGTTATTATGGCCGACCAAATAATTAAAAAGGCAGGTTAACAGGAGAAAATAAAACAAAGTTTAGTAACGGGTATACATGGGAGAAACTCAGGAAAAACTGAGCAACTCAGCCATCTGGCTGAGGTTGTCATCTTAAATAGCATCTTCAGGTACAGGTAAAGGAGGATGTTGGGGGTAGTGGTTTGGGACTTCAAGGGGGAGGAAGGCAATTCAGATGGAGATGGACAAGCAGATGTTTGTTAGACAGTTGTTTACTGGGCCAGCTATAGAGGATGTGACCCAAGAGAAGAATTTCGACAAGATGGGCTTGTTGGTGCCTTTCTTGTCACACCTATTTTACATTATACTATAGTCATCTCGTGGTATTAGCTCCTTCCTGGAACAGGCCTATGTTAAATTCTTTTACGTGGTTAGGGCAAAGGCCAAAGTTTCTTTCAGAGTCTTTTGTTCTTAAAAATAATCAAGGCAAAGAGACACATTTTGGGATGGCCAATTCTGATCCCCCACAAATACCTCAACATTTTTGTTTTTGACTGCTTGGTGGTAGAGAGACTTAAGTGATTCCTCCAACAAGTTTGTCCAGTCACACTGTAGATGCATCATAATTTCCCTATACATCTCCTTTTTGTCCCTTGACTGCCAACAAGGCTGTTTGTTCTTGGACTGGGCCTCTTAACAACCCCTCACATATCTGTGTCCTCCTTCCATCCTGCTAGATGAATGGGCAGATCTGGGCTTGCCTCTTTCTGAGACCTCCATCCTGAGCAGCTGAGTCATCCTTTTTGCAAGATTCTTTGCTTGATTTATTCTCCCTGCTCTCAAATGCCTTTCAAACACCTTTTCTCACTTGCTTCTGAAGACCTATCTTTCTGCTTCACTGCTTACCCTTTACCTGTTTTCATACTCTCTTTGGGTGTGTGGTGGAAGCTTTAGAAATTTACACATGTGCTGTGAAATACCAAAGGTTAAGAAACACCACAATAAAGTGTAGATGAGGGAAGCTTTCCCCTCCACCTCTTTATAGTCAGCCCTTGGAGTGGGCCCTCTGAATCACTAGGCAAAGGGACAAAATGGTTTGTGTGGATGGTTTAACTAGCTTGAAACTTCAGTTTCATTATAAAAGTCCCGACGGCAGAGCACTGAGAAGGAGGAAAGAGTCTGCTCATGGGGAAGTTGAGTCTCTTTTGTAGTTACTGTAGTTCTTCCCAGTGCAATTTGCAGAGCAACTCTGAATCATCAGATAGATAAATTCAAGGGAAGGAAGCAGTTTTCCAGCTCATCTTTTGAAGTCTGATCCCATCTGTCCTTTTCTTTCTAGGTACTTGGAAGTTCTGGTAAAACATACACATGTTTGGCTTCTTGTCATTATTGTTCATGTCCTGCATTTGCCTTCTCCGTGCTACGGAAGAGTGACAGCCTACTGGTGAGGATGGGGAAGCCTCTTTTCACTGCAGTCAAATTAAGAAAGACATTGTTAGCCGTTACTGCATGGTTTAAGAGTTGTGCAAAAGGGGAATTTTACTACATGTTGAAACAAATCATAATTTATTTTCCTTGGCTTCAGTTAGTCATCTCTTTTGGGTTTACCCTCCCAAAATGCAGTGTCATTTTTAGAACTACATCAATTTCCCAACTTTTTATCTAAAAGGTCATGGATGAAGCTTTTGGGAGGGCAATAAGGCAATTCCAAAAGTTGGCACTGGGGAATTAGATGGCCCCAAAAATAAGAACTAAATTGGATGTTGGCAACTTTGCATATCCCCAGCTCCAGCCATGAGGTGTTTCTTCCCACTACCTGTAAGACAGCCTGGCACTTAGCCACACTTGACTTTCACATGAGGCAGGAGAGCACAATGATGCCTTTGCCAATTTCACAGTAGTCCAGAGCATCAAGCAGGAACAAGACATACTCACACAACTTTCCTTATTCCAAAGGAGAAAGCAATACCAACCTGAGAGCAGGTAGCTATTTTTTAAGTCTTGCCAAAGAAGACAATTATAGCATGCACTCCATTCTTCCCTTCTTTTACACTACCTTTGTAAACATCTTGGGAACTGGGTGGCAAGTTGGCTATGCCATTGTACAAGAGGCTCCATTCATAGCTTATTTGCCATAAGTTTATTTCACCTATAGAATGACAAGATTAAACCAGGCTCCCTTCAATATCTAAAGCTTGTGTTCTGTGATATAAGCTCCAAAATAGATCATCTCTCCAGAGGTGTGCACAGGCTGATATATGTGAGAGTTCTGCCACCCCACCATCCCATCCCATCATACCCCACCCCACACCCCGGGAGTATAACACGGTGGTTAAGGGAGTAGACTAGCTCTGAGGACATGGTTAAAATGGAGATAAAACACGTCCTCATGGAGTAGCTGTCAGATTTAATGAGATAATCTATGAGAAGCACTTAGCAACACAGCACCTCAAGAATGTTAGCCATTGCTATTAACAGCTTTCTGAAGGCAGAGAAGAAAGAAAGAAAACTTACGGCTAAATTGAGGAGCCTGTCTTTGTTTTCACTGTGGGTTATATACCCGGTGCCGGCTGGATCTAAACTGTTCCCCAAAAGAACAGGCAAAGTAAAACTTCCTTTGTCCCCTCTGACTTCTAGAAAGAATACATCTGTCTCATCTTATCTGCAGTTTTTAGGCAATGAGTTAAAGGCCCATAATCTGTGTGCCCGCTCCTTTTCCTGTTAAATGTGATCGTAGTGAGAGATCTTGGTTAGCCTGGTCCTGCTGATTTCTAATGGGTTTGTGTGTTTTGTATTCCAGTGCAAGCATCTCTTGGCAGTTTATCTTAGTCAGGTTATGAGGACCTGTCAGCAACTAAGTGTCTCTGACAAGCAATTGACTGACATATTGTTGACCGAGAAGAAAGAAGCAGCATAGAAGGTACAGATTGAGCATCATTATCTTTCAAAATAGAAGTCCCATCAAGGAACACATTTAACCTATCGTGGTTCACATGGAAGAGAGGTGAAACAGATCTTCTAGACTTCTTGTTACTGTCCCTTTTCCCTCCTGGACTGCTGTGGGTTGGAACCCAGGATGTATACATAGTTTGAATCCTTGTACAAGTCTCCTCATGAAAGATCTGAACCAACCTCTAAGCCCCTTGGGTAAAAAATTTCCTAGATGGAATCAAGCATTTTAGACTCAAAGCCTAATATCATGTCTTGTCCACAATTAGTCAGATTGTTAAGTGACTAAGTACTACTAGTAATTTTTAGGAGGTTGGAATGGTAGAGAAAGCTGAGTAAGATAAAGTTTAGATGAATAAGTGTTAGTTCTTTTTCTTGGGTCCAGAAAATTATTCCATAGCAAAAAAGATCAAAGCAGAGATGTGGTTAAACAGCAGCGAGCATAAAAAGACTTAGGGATTCTGGTTTCAGTGAGCTTCAGATATCTGTTGGTGTTGGTGCCAACTTCAGATATCTGTGGTCGAGTAGGCTATGTTGCTGAAAAGTTAATATCTAGAACAAAGGAAGTGCTGGTTTTGCTCTGCATGCATTTCTGAGCTTTATAACAAGCCAAGTGAAGTAAAAGACTAAAAAGCATGTCCTGAGGGAACCTAAGGATACTACCAGGGATTTCCAGTCTGAAGAAGAAAAGGCAAAGGGGTACCAAGAGGAGTGTTAGAAGGGAGAGAAATGGGAGTTGTTTGGACCCCAAGAGGGAAGAAAGGAGCAATGATAGATAAAAATGACACAGATTTCAGCACGGACAAGAATTTCTTAATAGGTAAAGCTGAGGATCCTAGAAGGACAGAAGTTCCCTGTCTCTGTAGGGGTTCATAAATCTGCAGTGTCCTTGCAGGGATCTTACAGAAGGAATTGAAGCAGTGAACAAACAGAGGAGATGGATGATTTTTACAGCCTAGGAAACCCCAACCCTGTGCCCCTGAAACACGAGGTGCTGGTGAATGAGTGTGAAAAGGCCGCAGATGATGCAGTGTTCTGTGGTTGGCAGAGCCTTTTGTTATGTTGAGGTGGCAAATAAAATCTATTAAAGGCTTTTCTACTACTTGGGAAACTTGGGCTGGATATAAACTTATTTTTTTTATATATATATAATTTTATTTATTTTTTCCCCCAAAGCCCCAGTAGATAGTTGTATGTCATAGCTGCACATCCTTCCAGTTGCTGTATGTGGGACACGGCCTCAGCATG